CGCTCTCATCCTCCCTCCTATCTCACGCAGGCCTGTGCTGGCGATCGTGGAGGTGGAAGTACAGGAAGTCGACATGAGTGCTCGGGACAGGGTGTTCCAGGAAGTGTCCTCTTTCCAGGGCCCCCTGGACGCCACCGTGGTGGTGAACCTCCAGTCGCCAACCTTAGAAGAGAAAAACGAGTTTCCCGAGGACCTGCGCACGGAACTCATGCAGACCTTGGGGAGTTACGGGACGATCGTGCTCGTCAGGTAGCCCCCGCCCGCTGCTGCGGGCTCCCGGCCCGTGGGCTAGGGCCCTGAGTGCTGAGTTCTGTGCGCTGACATGGCGGATCTCATTTATTCCAGGATCAACCAAGGCCAGATGCTGGTGACGTTCGCAGACAGTCACTCGGCCCTCAGTGTCCTGGATGTGGACGGTATGAAGGTCAGTCGCACTTTGCCACACCAGGAGGAGGGCTGATCAGTCCCTACTTTTCCACAGCGCGCCCCAACACTCTAGCCCAGGCCCCACCGCCCTGTGTCTTCCTGTGTTGGCACCAGAGGAAGAAGGAGCTGTGGCTTTTCTCGCTCCTGAGGGGTCTCAGGCCTGGTCACAGGTCCTTGGAGAATCCGGGCGAAAGAACAAGTCTTAGAGGGTGGTCCCAGCGACTGGCACCTCCACCTGGGTGGAGGGGGCGCTGCAGCTCATCTCCATCTTTCTCTTTAGAGATGTATTTTAGACCTTTCTTCCCAGGGCCAGCTGGTGGTGTGGTGATTACGGCACCTGATCCCAGATCCATGGCTTGAAAAACATGCCAGGTTCATGTGCGTGTGTGCCCAAAATCCCAAGAGGAGAATGGAGAAGGATTGCTATGTGACCGTGTCACATGGGAGTGGCTTTCTTTCTCACTTTCTCTTTCTTTCTCTCTGTGTCTCTCTCCAGTGAGAGCATGTACCCTCTGGCAAACTAAAACACAAAAACAAAAACAGAATATGCAGTTCCGAGTAGTTTTCATTTTGATAGTTTCCTGACTCTTGTTTTTCATTGTCAGATTGTGTATGCCCTCATCAGAGAGAAACAGAGAGGAAGAAGCAGCCCCCCAGGACACGCTCACACCACAGTCCCTTCTCCAGTCTCCATCCCATTGGGGTTGGGTGTGCACACACGCGCTGGCATGTTTCTCAAGCTGCCAGGCCTGGAATTCGAATCAGATAGGTCATGTGGGATCGCGCTCTCGTAACCACTAGGCCAGGGCCAGCCCGACTGTGTCCTGGTTTTCAGTTTGCCTGTGATGGGCCACTGGAGGTGACCATCCAGCTGTTACGTTACTTAGATGGAGTGTGCATCAGTTGTGCCCAGTCCTCCTGAGGTCTGGCCCTTGGCGTTTCTTGGCAAAATGTGAAGATCAGCCTTGGCCCACGCTTGCGTCTGTGAGAGAAGCACTTTGCTATCGAGGGGAGTTGTCGTGCCTATGGTATTTATCTTGGTGGCCGCTCTGCCCCACAGGTGAAAGGCAGAGCAGTGAAGATTCGTCCCAAGACAAAGGACTGGCTGAAAGGCTTGCGAGAAGAGCTCATTCGAAAACGGGACAGCACGGCCCCCGTGTCCCCCACCGCCAACTCCTGTCTGCTGGAGGAGAACTTCGACTTCACAAGCTTGGACTATGAGTCAGAAGGTGAGTGACCCTGCGAGGTGGTTCTCCCAGCTGGAGGCATGAGGTGTGATGATGCTGCACAAAACCCTGCCTCCCGAGGTCTGGACGCCACTCCTAGCACAAGCGTTCCATCCACCAGGTGAGCAGGGCAGAGTGCACGTGTGGGGCGATGCACGCCATGGAAAATGGTGCATACATGGAAGACAGTGTTTTAGGGATGTTGGGGCTATCAGCATGAATGGAGGTGGGATGCCAGCCCCGCAACATCTGGGCCCACGGGTTGTGGGAGGTGTGCCAGGGTCCTGTCGGTAGCCAGAACAAACCCACTGAGGCAAGGCCGTGTGCTCCATCCTCACTGTGGCCCGTGTCCCTCACACAGGGGATGTTCTTGAGGACGATGAAGACTATGTGGTGGACGAGCTCAGCCAGCCTGGGATCTCGGACGGGGAGCTGCTGGGAGACGACCTTTCCGATGCCCCCAATGCCGCGGCACTGGCACCTCCCAGCAAGTCACCTACACTCACCAAAAAGAAGCAGCATCCGACATACAGAGGTAACTGGGTGCCCCCCCCCCCCGCTCCTCTTGGAGGCAGACACTACATGATGGTGTTGGACCCACACACGGGTCCCAGGAGAGGCCTGGACCAGGAAGGCAGAGTAGTGGCAGACATCAGGCTCTGGGAGGTGTCCGCACTGTTTTGTCATCGATTTCTTAATGTCTGACAACAGGGACCCTTGAAAACATCCAGGTCCACGGTCATTCCTTTTGGTACAGTTCTGAGCTCGTTTTACATTCCTGAGTTATTTTTTCCTCCAGGATTTGCTGACTCAATTTCTGTAAGAGACAGACGTAGTGTTCACGTCCTGAGTTGCTGACATATTGTTACATTCGTCGTATATGTTGTCATACAGTCATCTTGTAAGCAGCGTCACCCTGTCGTTTTAGACATAAGCAGAGAGGCTGGAAGGTCGTGGGTTTGAGCCGCATGGCACCAGCACGACCCAGGTTAAATGGTCAGTAACTGTTTCATAAGCCTCCAGCCTACCACGGCTCGTGACCTGTAGGCTGTCCGCATTTCAGCGTTGGCCTTTGTGGCTGCTGCCCCATTTGGGGCTAAGAGCACCTCCAGCTGGCAGCCAGTCACTCCCCTTATGGAGGGCAGGCCTGCCAGAGGTGCAGGAGCTCGGTCACAGGCCCAGACCCTTGCAGGAGACTCCCCAGGTAGTGGGGTGCACAGCTGGTTTGGGGCCTACTGCCCAATTCAGAGCAGTGGCCCTTGGCAGAGGGACACATGGTCCTGCAGAAGCCCTCCTGCCCCAGGGTGGATGCAGCTGGAGGGATGTGCTCTTCAGCAAGAGGCGGCCCTCCTCACTGGGGATGGCTGTCCTTTAGCCAGCCTCTGGAGGGCAGTGCCTCCTGGAATGAAGAAATGAACAGAGCAAAGAGGACATCAGGGGCAGCCTGGACACCCGGTGGGCCCCAGGGGAGCCATCTCCTCATGCTGGGGCTGTCCAGCATTCCCGTTACAAGGAGGACGTGCTTTCCCCTTCCAGCCTCGGAGTTTCACAGTTGAGCTTTGGTTCCAGGGTGAGGGTGTCTGAGCTACAATGAAATGGACAGCTGATGCCATGGAAGAGGCCTCTGACTGCCCGGGTTAACATGTAGCAAACGTGTGTAACGAACGGAAGCAGCTGTCTCCTAGTGCCCCTCCTGGCCCTCTGTGAAGGTGCAGGGCAAGTCAAGGGAGCAAATCCTTGCAAGGTAGCTGGCAGTGGGCTTGCCACGTCTCGGATCTGATGCACCAGCAGGGTCCATAATCCGGGAGCTGGCCGCTGGCCGCCTGCTGGAGAGAAGGGACAGTGGGTAGTCTTGGCATTCAAGGCAGCTGCCATGCTCTGGAAACGTGTCTCCCTGAGATCACGTGAGTCATCAGAGGGTTTCCAACTGTCTCCTCTGTGTATGGAAGTGTTGTCGATTGTTTCCGAAGGAACCACGGCTACACTTCAGATATTTCAGCAGCTCTCGAGTCGGGAAGGCACACCTGGCCCTGGTTCACTGAATGTTCCAAGCAGGGCTGGGATCCCCCACCGGCCCGCCTGCAGAGGGGGCACACAGAGTCCCTGCACAGAGCCCTCCGCTGGGGCAGCAGTTCTAGCTGCCCGGCCGGCTTCCTGGGCACAGACCCCGGCCTGACCACTGCGCTGGTAAAGGCCGTCACGTCTTACTCATGCCCCGCCGTGTCCTCCAGATGAAGCCGACCTGGCGGAGCTAAAGCAGGAGCTGGAAGCCATTGGGGATTTCCGTCACCGCTCTCCAAGCAGGTCTCTGTCGGTCCCCAGTCGGCCTCGGCCACCTCACCCACCGCAGAGACCCCCCCCTCCAAGTAAGACCTGGCTTGCTTTCAGCTTGCCGCCTCACCCACTGGGGACAGCTGCCTGTATCCCACTGCCGCTACCGGGGCTCCGAGTCACCTGCCATGCCTCTGAACCCCATGATGCTCTCCCCACCTGGCCTCCTCTTTGTCCTAACT